CTTTCCACTGGTTTTAAATTAAATACTATAAAATTTAATGGAATTTAATTAAATACTTAAACTGTCTACCTTTTAAGCACAAATTAACTTTGGATTTGACGTAAGATTTCGTATTTCTTTTAATTTGACGTATCTGCTTCTAGCACAGAAGTTATCATCAGGGATATAAAATTCTTTTTCCCGATTATGTTCAGTCCAGTCGCCACCCAAGCGATCTAGAACGAAAGCGACTGGAATCAGACTTATTGCTGCGCTGTTACTTATTGTCAGATCCCGGAGCTCTATAAAGCCCTGGTGTACAGCCGCTGCTTCTTCAGATTGAGTGGTCACAGCTGTGATTGATTTGGGTACGTGTTTCGAGTGCTTTCACACTGGAAGATAAAACAGCTACTTCCTGCTTGATCACCTGACCGAAAACCCGAGGAATGGCTGAAAATATTCTGGGGCAAGTTAGGAAACGACTCTGCTGCAAACAGATTTTCTTCTGTCTAAGCTCAAACTTTGAGGGATAACGTTGGAGACAGTGTCTGACACGTTTGCCTTTGCGACACAAAAGGATATGCGCTCAGCGAAACTGACTGATTGTCTGACTAAATCTAATTTCTTATCTGATCTGGAATTTTTTAAAATCTCGATTATCTTATGAAATGATTTTTTCTGATATATCTCTGATAGTTTTGGGTCGAAAGCCACAATATAGAATTAAAATAGAAAAGAGAATTTTGTTTAATGTCTAAAGGAATTCGCGTTGAACTGATGAATGCTTAAATCATATTAGTGTGTGTTACAAATGACATTCTAAAGATAATTAAATACGTTTTCTACTGGATTCGTCGCTAATCAATTGATTGAGAATCAGCAAGTGCGCACCATCAGATTCCAGAGTAAGCTCCACTACGATCGTGCAAACTGTAAGGTAGTGAGTTACCTCTTGGATGGTTTACCCTTAGTGGAATTGCGTTCCTCTCTCATTAGTTTGGTTAAAGAGCGTTACGTGGTACTGGACTCATGGTTCTGTTGGGATAGGTTTGAGAGTGGTGAAACTGAATGAAAGTTATAAATATGAAGACGGTTTAATAGAAGAACAAACTGCAAATTACGAAATTGATTATTTCAAGAGTGAGTTTATCCGAAAGTTTAGTATCACAGATTATGTCATAATGAATATAGCCTCGCTGAACTAATTACATAGGTTTCTTCTTATATGTAAAAACACCAATCTTATCGGTTTGCTAGCGTACTGCTAGTTTTCGATACCTCCGTTAAAAAATTACATTATTCATTTAATATCGGAGTTAAACGGCGTATAGGCACTGACCTCTTGCTTCTAGCGGCCTAAGATACCAGTTAAGCAGACCATGGTTACATGGTATTTGAGTACGTGCAGTGCGGTTTTGCATCCATGCGCTGCAGGATGCTCTTACACGTGACGCGCTTAGAAAGCTAGACCTTCTTTCGCAAGGTCTTTCTTTTTCCCAGTTGGATCTTACGTTCGATCAGAAGACCGGTGGTGTTACTTCTCAGAGACTATAGGGAAATGAATAGGGTGAATCTGCGGCACGATCATCAATGATTCGTTGTAGCGAACATGTAGCAGACGTGATTTTGACTCTTGAGGGGAATAGCTTACACCCGCACTTGTTTAGAATTTCAGTGTTGGCGCTTAGTTGACTAGAGTCCGGTTATTTCGAGTTGATACCTTGTGGCCTCATCAACCAGCTTTTGCTCTTTCCCTCTGAGTGATGATATAATATATTCCATTTTCCGACTGTACGCTCCCACTGGCGGTATTGTTCTCGTGGGGCCTTTTCTGACATCGCGCTGTCTGCCTCCTTCGTTCAGAACGGGTAGCAATTCCGTTGCTGGCAGGTATCTTCGTCGTCGTTCCGTCAGTTTTTGTCAGCCGTTGTTGTGCTGCTGCGCCCGCTGTCCGCCAGAAGCCGATGAGCAGGTTGTGATCGCCGACTTCACACCATACCTCACTCATCAAATAGCCTTCACAACCCTTGGTAACCCGAACGAGTCGGCATAATGCCTTATCATGTGGAGCAGATGGCTAAGTTTGACGGAGTCCTCTCGAGGGTCTCCAACCTTCCACCTTTCTCATTGAGGCTTGGGACCGGCAACGGCGGAGTCAGGGGTTATAATTTCATCGAGTTGTTCAGTACCTGTTTGGAAATGTTGTTCCGGAGGATGAACTGTAAGGTTGGAATTAACATTGACGATGAAAAGTCGATCCGCGTAAGGTACGTTGTAATGTTAGTTTAAAATGGTAGTTTGTAAAGTTAGAAAAGCGTCGCGTAGAGAAAACGTTATGTATCAAAAATTTGTAAGTGGCAGTTGTAACATTTAGAACACTCTTGTTCTATCCGAAGAATGATTTTCTGTCGTGTGCAAGTGATCGTTTTGTTTGTCGTTCAGTTTGCAAAAGACTCACAATCCTTTGAGGTTCCGAGTGAGGAAGAATTTGAGGTTGAATTAAGCCCTGGGAAATACTTTCACACCGGCAACCATAGGGAGGCTCTGGACTTCCGGAAAGCAAAGCTGGATCGCCGATTGATCTACATGGGCAAAATCGCTGATCCTTCATCGACAGCCACCATCTGTTTTGGTAAAGCTACTGAGGTGGTTCCGTGTGATGGCTTTAAAATCAGCATTAACATCAAGAACAACTCACAAAGTGTTCGATACTTCAGCAAGATCGACGGCGAGTTCATTGAAAAACCAGTGGTAAAGAAGTTTGCATTCGAACCAAATCGTGTCTATGTATTCGTCGTCACGATCACAGACAAATCGGTAGTGGCTGTGGTCGAAGGCCAACCATATTTTGATGATCCGGATTCGAACGCCTTGGAGGTCTTGAACATAATGAACGTAATTAGCGTGCAAGGATTTGAAAACGGTGTTTTTTATGTGGATAAAATTGCTGCGAAATAACACCATGATCAGAAAAATTCTATCCTGTTTGATGCTTGTGATGATTGTCATCCATCAGTCACTCTAAATCTTCATCAACTACTATTATGTTAATTTGTTGAAGTTTTCAGTTAAAATCATGATGAAGATCGTTAAACTCTTAGTATTAAACTCTATTTTGTATTGGTTTTTTTGGCTAATGGAATGTGTGAAACCTGTTTGCTTACATAAAGGGAAAAAGGAAAGTTTGTCATGGTTGAAATGTCGGTCTTCCTTGACTTTCATGATTGGGCAATTTTTGCTTCCTTCTTT